ATATATATATATATATATATATATAAAGTGATACCTCATGTTTATTTAATAATAAATGCTAAAAATGACAATTCGCAGGAATTAAAAAAGTTTAGTGGTACCAGAACTTTAACCGGTTGACTTTGACGCTTCCACACGCCCAACGGATGATACCACACGCCAAACCGGAACGACTACACCTTGGGAAAGTTTTAGCCAATATCACAGACAAATCTCCAAACACCCTTTTGATTTTCCATTTGATCTGCGAAACCCAAGTTTAGATTTCCCCGGCAATTACCCATTTGGTAGAAAGATGCACGATTTCTGTTTCACGATCCCGTACGGCCTGATTCTTGTGGTTGGGGGCATTATTGGGTATCTCAGGAAAGGCAGCATGGCATCACTTGCTGGTGGTGGGGGAGTAGGATTGGTGATCCTTCTTGCCGGGTATTTGAGCCTCAAGGCTTTTGAGAAGAGAAAGAACTCGTATTTCGCTCTGGTTCTTGAGACTGGTAAAATTCTTCCACTGTGTTTGAAGATCTTGCTCTGTTTCTGTGTTTCCTTCTTTGGCTTCTTTTTGTTTGGAATTTGAAGTTGGAGATTCATCAAATTTTGTAGTTTTATTATTAACTTTGTTAGTAGTTTATCAGATCTTCGGGTTTTTTTTTTTTTCTTTTTTTCTTTTTTTCTTTTTAGATGATATGATACTTTTAGTTTATGGATCGAGAGTTTAGTGATCCATAACCTTTGTATGAGCCTTGAGATGATCTTTTTCAGTTATTGCGTAAGAATTATCTTGCTTTAAAGCTTTGTGATGTGATTGGTTTTTCCATAGAAAATTGAGAACTTTTGCTTAAGGATTCCTGATGTTCTGGATCCCAGGCCACTAATTGATGGTTTGGAAGTAAAAAACTGTACCCTTTTTTTATATAAATGTTTTAGCAGATGTTGAGGATATAATTATCCACCTCTGCTTAAAGGAGTTTAAATCGTTATGTCTGGAAACCCATTTATTTATTTAAAGTTTCATCATTTTATGGGACAAATCATTTGTAGTTGTAGAGGAAGAAAGAAGGGATCTAGTAACTTAAATCCAAACGCATTTTTAACAAGGCTTTATAGTCCTGTTTCTTCAATAAATTTGCTATCCATAAAATAATTAATGCATACATGTTGCTTCAGTTACTTCTTCATTTGCGTTTTCTTGAAGCATCCTCCCAGAGAATGCATAGAGGACTAACGTTTCGTGCCATTCCTTGGAAACTTTGCTTGACTAGCATTGGGTTACCATAGAGAGTTAGATGAGGAGTGAGTCTTGGGGCTTGTTGTTTATTTGTATTGTGTGTTAGATTGTTACTGTAAGAAGAACTGGATAAGAAAGCATTTTATTTTCTCTTGCTCCAGCCCCAGTTTCATGGCATGCTCACCTCTTGAGTGATTGCTAGATTTTTGTGTTTTACTAATTCATATTCCTTTCAAACAGTTTGTGCTGCTGTGCTGACGTGGGTCATGGGACAGCGTTATCATCAAACTTCCAAGATTATGCCAGCTGGTATTTTGGCAGGGATAAGGTCAGTTGGTGCTCACATTGGATGCTTTTAGCATTCTAAAGTTCATACTGTGTTATATCTTGACATGGCAACATTATTGCACTTGACCTGCTTTGTTTCATCATATTTGATGGCACCTATGACAGATTGAACCTAAAGCTTCTATATAGGGCTTTCTCATGATAATTTTTTAATAGCTACATTCTGGACAGAACACATTAGTAAATGTTTAGGAGATCATATTAAAAATCTCTGTGGCATGGTATTTGCATGGAAATTTTGGAAAATATTGTAGTTACTAGCAGCACCACTGGAATCTGATAATTATTAGATGATTTTTTGCCACCAATCGGTTTTATAAGGTAGGGTAACCTCTTCTATACATAGACCACCAAGATCCAGTTGTAACCTTGAGCTGTGCCCACTACCACTCTCACCTTTCATGGCCAATCACCCAGCAGGGCGGGGCGCATTTATTTAGATCTTTGTTCATAATTTAAAGAGCTAAAAAGACTCATTGTTCACATTGCAGTGCTCTAATGACTGGCTTTTATGTCTACAAACTTGCAACTGGTGGCAACCATATTCCGGCCAAAGCTGAAT